TCCAGTGAAATATATTTATGTTTGTGGTTGTAATGTGACAAAATATGGAAAAGTTCAAGGGGTATGAATACTTTTGCAAACCACTGTAAATACAACAAAGGAAACACAAAAAAACAATACACACAGAAAACGAATCCAAAAGCCGACAGGAAGAAACCTGGAGAAAAGCAACAAAAATCAGCCACAAAGATGGCCATAGGCACATCTGAAGGGTCCAAAAAATTTAGGTGGGCACCCAGGAACCCAACAAAAATGGGGAAGGGGCTCTGGAGGGCAGCCGTGGACTCGGCCGCAGTGAAGGCGGAGCTTTGGAGGATGGCCGTGGATCTGACCGCGTCAGAGATGGAGCTCCGGTGGGTGGCTTTGAGCCCAGCCACAGCGGGAACAGAGTTCTGGTGGGCGACCTGGAGCTCTGCCTCGGCAAGGATGGAGCTCTGGAAGATGGCCCGAAACCCAGCTGTGAAGGTACTCTGGAGGTGCTGGCTCAGGAGACTCTGCAGGGGCTGGATCAGGAGACTCTGGAGGTGTCAATGATGCGAGTTTAGGTGGGACTGGAACTGGTGCATAGAACTCAGATCCAGCTGACTTGGAGGATCTGACTGCAGGCGGTATGGAGAACTCAGCTGCAGATGACAAGGAGTCAACTGCAGGCAGTGAGGACTCAGCTGTAGGAGGAACCAGAGTGGACTCAGGAACAGAGACTGGCATGTACTCAGGAGACTTGGGCAGACCCAGGGACTTTACAATACTATCCGGGAGCTCTGCAGTCTCTGGTGCTGGCTCAAGTTCTAGTTCTGGCTCTGGGGACTCACAGACTGACTCTGGCTCCAAGGACTCTGCAGCAACAGCAGATGTGGGCATCATCTCCACCAGAACCATAGCCACAAGCACTGCCAGAACAGCCAGGGTGATCAGTACCACTTCCTCCCTCCTAAGACCCTCCTCACAGGAGGTGGACGCATCGATCCTTGCCGGAGCGCTGATGGCAGTGGAGGCATCAACTCTCACCGGGGTGCAGGACGTAGTGGAGGCGTCGACCCTCGCCGCAGTGCAGGAAGCAGTGGACGTGTCAACCCTGGCCAGAGTGCAGGAAGCAGCGGAGGCATCGACCCTCACCAGAGTGCAGGAAGCAGTGGAGGCGTCGACCCTCGCCAGAGTGCAGGAAGCAGTGGAGGCGTCGACCCTCGCCGGAGCGCTGGTAGTTGTAGAGGTGTCAAGCCTCTCTGAGACACTTGGATCGTAAGAGGCAGAGGCATCGATCCTCGCTGGAGCTCAGATAGCGCTAGATCTCAAAGATCCTCTCGGAGGAGTGACAGGAGGGAGAGGCGTCCAGGACTTCCTCGGGGGTGGCACTGGAGGAGGCAGTGTCCAGGACCCTCTCAGAAGAGACGCTGGAGGGAGAGATGGAGGCGGCATGGGAGAGCAGAAAACCATCAGCCCGGCTGAGCAGTACCCGATGTACTCGGGGCAGTTGGGATCATTCTCAGGATTGTAATCTGGATCTTACTCAGCCTCACTCTCAAAGGGCTCGGACAGGAAAAACTCGGATGGTTTGGGTGGGGCCGCTGCTTTCTTCCGCCGGCGAAGGTGGCGCTGCAAGGAACCGGAAGATGGAGAGGGCTTCACCGCCAGACGAGTCTCCCAAAACTGCATCCTCAACTTCTCTTCTTCATCCATGAGACGATGGAAAAGACCTTGATCTTCGGTTCCTGGCGGTCACGTCTCCGGGTGGGCTGAGCAGGATTCATTTGAAAACTACCAACTCTGATGGTAGTCAACTGCTGGACCCGCTGAGTCCTCACCGCCCTCCGAGACAAACCCTTACCCCACTTGCTGAATGGAGCAAAGAGGTTCTCTTTTTCACAGAAATCCATAAAACTCCTCCTTCCAGTGGATTCTTGTCTTGGCTGGTTCATTCTGTTGTGGTTTGCGGTGCAGAATGAGTCCAGATCCAGACGGAGGATGAAGTTTTATATAAAAAGGATTTATTAACAAAATAAATAGCTGACTGGGCAGCAAAACAAAACTGAAAACACAAGGAGACGAGGAGAACCAAAACAGTTGAAGACATCAAACAATGAACCAGCGAGGGTGTGGAATACTGAACAAGAATATATACAACAGAAGAAATGAGGAAATGAACAACACCTGGGAAGGGAACTGATTGGGGGCTACTAAGCAGGTGAGGATGATAAGCTGAAAAATGACAAGGAAATGGGCTGAGGATAACTGAAGGGTGGAAACACAGAGAAAACACAAAAACAATAAAACAGCCGGTTGAAGCCAACCGGCTGAGATTCTGTGCAAATAAGCCTAAATATTCCAGAAAGAATGGTCCTGCCCACTCAAAACTAAACACTGATTTTACCTTTTTAGATTTTAAATAAGTCAAAGAATATATGCTTTTTCCCCCAACACATTTTTTACTAAATCCCTGATAAACTTAAGTTACATTGACCCCCAACAATCCTTTAATGATGTAGAAACATTGAAAAATTGGCAATGCACAGGAACAGCAGGTTAGTGGTCACATGGCTAATTGGTATAGTTTACAGATAACAGATACAGCGGGTAAAATAAGTATTGAACACGTCACCATTTTTCTCAGTAAATATATTACTAGAGGTGCTAATGACATGAAATTTTCACCAGATGTTGGTCACCAGATACTTTGTATAAAAGTCTATGTTGTCAATGACAGCTTCAAGACGCCTCC